CAGTTAACTCTCACTGTCACGTGCGTTTTCGAATTAAAAAAAATATTGGAAAAAAAATTATCAAATCCTTCGATTTTTATGGCCCTGGAGCAGTTAAGCTTGGCTGCCACTCCAGACCCAGTTGACGGCCAAACAGACGCCGTCAACGCCGCCACTAACGGCGTCGAATCCCGTCCAGCGTCTGTTGATGGCGGTGATGACGTCAGTAAAGCTCCCAGGCTTCCTCGATGGACGAGGCAGGAAATTCTCGTACTCATACAAGGGAAAAGAGTCGCCGAGAACCGAGTCCGGCGTGGACGGGCCGCGGGCCTGGCTTTCGGTTCGGGACAAGTGGAACCCAAGTGGGCCTCGGTTTCTTCTTACTGTAAGAGGCACGGCGTGAACCGGGGACCGGTGCAGTGTCGGAAAAGGTGGAGCAATTTGGCGGGTGATTTTAAGAAGATCAAGGAATGGGAAAATAACATAAAGGAAGAAACTGAGTCATTTTGGGTTATGAGGAACGATTTAAGGAGGGAGAGGAAGTTGCCGGGGTTCTTCGATAAAGAAGTTTATGATATTCTCGACGGCGGCGCCACAGGAGTCCCGGGTTCGGCCACGGCTCCCGGTTTGGCTCTGGCTTTAGCTCCAACTCCCGTGGTGCAGGACGTGGCGGAGGATGTCGAGGCTGTTTTTGATAGTGGAAGGAGCGCGGCAGCAGAGGATGGTCTTTTTTCGGACTTTGAGCAGGATGATGCTGCTGGGAGCCCGGAAAAGGTAGAGCCGGCGGTAGCAGCTGCTGCTGGAAAGGCGGTTCCAGCTCCTATGCCTATTTCAGGTAATCTGAGAATAGTGAAAAGAGTAGTGAAACTTTTCAATTCGTATTATATATATATATATATATGGTTATTTACAATGAATTGCTAATTAGTAATTAACATTGAATCAAAGCCTTTAATTCTGTTTGTGGTTTTGTTTTAATACTATGATAATTTCATTGGGACTCTAATTGGTTCGTAAAGAAAAAAGAAGTTTGTTTTTCGGTGGAGGTGTGTGTTTGGGCAATGTTGGCAACTTCTTTTAGCCTTTTCTTTTTTCTAGGAATATTTATTCTTTTATCATAAGGCCGTGGCTGCTTTCTTTTTTTGAGGTATTTGTTTGGGCATTTTCCTTCTCCTCTGGATCTTCCACCGAAATCGAGGGAAAGGGTATGATTGGTCGACTTAATACTGATATGGGTTTTGTTTTCTTACTGTAATGCTCACAGAGAAGCAGTACCAGCCACAGCCAGCTGTTCGAGGGAATCAGAGTCAAGGTAATACAATCAACTCTTTTACCTTTTCCTCAATTAATGTGCTGTTTTCAAGATTTGTCTCTGTTGTTAGTACTAAGACGTTTTCAATATCAGGAATTGCTCAACTCAGGTATCATAATGTTGTTTCTAACATATTCTACGCCAGAATGTAGGAAAGTTTTGTCCAATTAGCTGATTGTTGTAGTCAATGAAGGAAGAAAACTAAAAAATGATCAGTCACGTTGATGATTCCTTGACTAATCACTTAGAACTTAATAAGAGTTACTTCCAAGTTTTAGAGCTTTTCTGAATATATCTTGTCATGTCTCAATTGCTTTGTGTATAATTGTCATGTTCGAGATTCAACCATGTGTTAGTGAAATATGCCTCTTGTTTTAGAAGAGACCAAGTGGAAACAACACCTTGAATTCAACGCTTACGGCAAAAGATTTAAACCAGGTTTAGACAAAAATTGACTAGGGCTATTGAAAAATATTGCACCAGAAGTGATTTATATGTCATTTTAATTGTCTCTAAACCAGAAGGGGCTTAAAAATGCAGTGCAAGTAGTGAATGGCAAAACGTCTCCTGTTCTTATTAATAATTTTACCCTCAGGTACAACAAATGAGAAACCTCCAAATTCAAGCTCGAATCCCGAGATAGGTTCTGCCTCTCTAGAAGCGAGGAAGAGGAAAAGGATGGGAGTGGATGGAGATGAGGAAATGAGCAGTATGCAGTATCACCTGATCGACGTCTTGGAAAAGAATGGTAAAATGCTGGTGGCTCAACTGGAAGCTCAAAACACCAACTTCCAACAGGATAGGGAGCAACGGAAAGACCATGCTGATAACTTAGTTGCTGTTCTTAACAAGCTTGCAGACGCTCTAGGGAGAATAGCTGATAAGTTATAGCTGGGGGCAGTCAGAATACGTTGTACATAGACAAGTACTGCTCGATAGATGGTAGCTCACGTTTGAAGAATTTATGAATCAAATCTTGATCAGGAAGATACTTTCTTATATGCATTTTTCGTTTTATTTTTACCCTACATATTCTTATTTACTTTCTACCATACACCCATAAATAAGTTGAGAATTTTGAGGTCCATCCAACATTTTCTACTTCTTTTCTGTTATACATCTCTTTCTCCCAGTGAGATTATATGAATTTTTTCCCTTCTACTATTATTGTACAGGCTATTATTTATTTACAGAGCAACATGAACTAGTCATATTACTTTCTCTGCCTTCTCATTTCAACATTTTGACCTTTCGAGGCATTTTCCTTGGTTTTTATCTATTACTTGTGCAAGTGTTGCATGCAAGACTTTGGCTAATTTATGTATTAATTATCACAGTGCGGCAGCATAATTATTTAAGACATGCCCGCAGCTTGGTATGGGATTAATGGGTCACCAAGATTTCTTTAATCCTGGTGCAGGACTCAGGACACGGTTCCTTATCACATAAGCGATCAGCTCCAAACTTGATCCTGTTACATAAATCTGCGAGAATGCCTCGTGAGCCTAAGCAAATGCCAAATATAAAGAGATTCTTGAGATTCAGGAATGAAGAAAATTATCAATATATATATATATATATATATATTTTCAAAAGAAGACTATCATTTAACATTTGGAATGCTTATACATTATGTTACCATCATTGTGCAATCCTGCCTAATAAAAGAACACACAACTCGGGGAGAAACGGTCGTAAGCACCTTCAGCAAACTCTTCAACAGTTAAGGGCAGTTCCACATTATACACTGGAGTCATCAGACTGTAATTTTAATTGATAGATGTGACCCCAATTTTGGACAACAGCAAGTACCATCTGCTCTGAACTTGTTTCTGGTTCATCATCTTTTGTTGAACCAACTTCATATTGCTAGGTTGCACCTGCTGCAATGCCCACATGGTGCCTTGTTGAGTGCAATGCGAAATATAACGAGACTCAAGAATGAAGAGAAGATATTCATTTAACATTTGGAATGCTTCCACACTAACTTTCCATCATTCTGTAAAAGAGCTGTGGTTGTGAAAACACAACTCGGGAGAAACAGTCAAAAGCACCTTAAGACATTTCGGTAGCAAATTCCTGGAACAGTTTAAGAGCTGCTCAACATTATACATCAGAGTCATCTGACCGTGATTTTACTCGATAGCTGCGAATGCATTTTTGAACAACAGCAGCAGCATCAGCTGCACTTGTTTCTGATTCATCATCTTCTGTTGCACCAACTTTATAATGCTGGGTTGCACGCGCTCCAATGCCCACAGGGAGCTTTGTTTGGTGCAATGACTTCTTACTTTCATCTTCCTCCTTAACCTCACCCCTACTGCTTCCTGGTTGAATATTGCCCGCTTTTCTCTTTGCGTTAAAAGTCGCCAACTTTGTAACATCCCAGGGTACATCATCCAGCTTAGGTTTTGTCTTTTGAACAAGCTTAAGGAAGTACATACAAACTTGAGCATTGGATTCTTTATCAACTTCACTTGATGAATCAAAACTGTAACCTGTATACCTAGAAAAATTTATATAATCTGGAACTGCACAAGCATTTTCAGCTGGTAAATATCCACAATCTGAATCTTGGGAACTCATTGGGAAGGTGCCAGTAGGGTCATCATCAAACTTTATTGATGAGTCTTCGAAATCATTTTTACAAGCAGAGTCAAACCTGACACGCTTTTGTGGCTTGAAACCTACATAGTTGTCTTTCCTTTTCAATATAGACCTCAATTGGCAACCATTATTGGATACCTCAACATTTAATTCTCTAATTTCAGCATTGCACCCATTATGATTATTGAGCTTCCAGGCTTCTTCATAATCTTCTTTCAGTCCAATCCTTGCCACCATGTGATTAGCAGGGAACACCTTGTTACTGGCATGATTTAATGCACTATAAAGCACATTCTGAGAATTCAAGTAAGACCCATGATCAGCAATATCACTCATATAAAGGCGTTCACCAGCATTCTCTCTCCCTGAGGCCACTTTGTCATATTCATCTTCCTCTTCCTATATCAAATAGTAAACAAACATCAGCTTTACTGTAAATAGACTAAAAGGAAAAGTAAGAAGTGGGGAAATAAACATGGACACTCAGTAAACAAAACATGCAATAGCCTCATTGACAAATAACAGAGGAACACAGTCTCTCTCCTAGTTACCAAGCTTAAGTGGTGGACCTAGTACCAGAGTCATTTAATACCTTTTAACTTAACAGGTACAGTTCCTTTTATTATTATGAGTTCATTGATATTCAGGGAGCACATTTACCCAACTACAACATGAAGCAATCAAACAAATTAATTCATGATAAAATCATTGAAGTCAGCTTCAACCAGGCTGAATTACTAGCTGATTAGACACGAAGTAGAAGTACTCATACTAAGAGGTTTGAACCATCTTCATAAACTACTTTAGCGCCTTAAAGTAGTACATTTTCCGGATGCACATACTGGCCTCCTTCAATATACTAGAGGCTGATGACCTGCTTTCATCCCAATATAAGGGTTCTTTCCCGAAATTCACCTTATTCATTCACATTGCTTACAACTTGTGTGAACATTATTAAGTAGAAGTTTCTCAATCTGTCAAGAATTCAACAAGTATATATTGATTTCACCGTACATCTAATGTCAACCTAATGTCCCAACTATGAAAAACAGTATTAAACTTTGACGATGCCCCAATGCCGGGCCAAGAAGCTTCTTAGACCACTCATCAAAGTATCAGCTTGAAAATTCAATTTACCCTATAATCAAAATATCTGAAACGAAATCACCATAGAGCCCTCCGTACAAGAAAAGAAGGAATACATACAAACAGGTCAAAGCATAACTAAGTTAAAATTAAAGAAATAAGAAGAAGCAAATACAATATTTAAAAAAAACAAAATTATAACATACCTCATTGTCGAGAGTCGAATCCATTCCTATAAAAGATCTGATCTCCCATTCATCTCCACCACCGTCGATTCTTCTACTACGCAACAAACTCGAATCGCCATCATCCTCGTCATCATCAACGTTATCGAGATCATCTTCCAGTTCTTTACGCGGTAACCTCCCGCTCCTATACCTCCTTTCCTCCTTCAAGAACTCAAGAAACGACGACGAACACAACCCCTCCTCTCGTTCGGCGGCGGAATCTCGCCTCCATTCTCTCCTCTTGACCTCATCGTCGGTGAGAGACCAGAGAGGTGGCCGCTGCTGTTGAAGAGGTGAAGATTGAGATGATTGGAGCGATCCGAAGATTTTTTCCACTCGAGTGTTGAAGCTATCGTCCATGGGAGCTGTTGGCTATGGAGGATTTCCGGTGATGGCTTTTCGGTGTTTTAAAATGGAGGCAACGCACCGCCCTTGCGGAGGGATTTTTTTTTTATTTTGTTTGGGGCGTTGTGGTAAATTTAAATTTTGGGCCGGCCCAGAGAGACTGAGCCGTTTTTCAATTGACTGAACCAACCCAATCCTGATGGGGTTGGAGATTGAATATTAGGAAATGATTGATATAAGGAGACTAAAAGTGTAATTTTTTATAATGTATTTAATTAAATTATATTATATTATTTATTTTATAATAAATTATTATAATATAAGATTACAATGTAATTACATTCTAGTTAAGGGATGTAATGTGATTATAGTTTAAAATCAATACAATCACATTACATTGTACTCTGTAATATTATTAAATGTATTTTTACTTTTCAACTTTATTATCTTGTTAAAAATATTTTGTAATGTTATAATTAAAATAAAAAATATTAAAATATAATATAAGAAATTAAAATTTATATAATATAGATAAAAAAATTAAAATAAAATATATAATATCAAAAATTATATTAAAAATAAAAATAAAATATATAAGATTATAATAAAAATAAAAATAAAATATATGACATTAAAAATATATTTAATAGATAATATTATATAAAAATTAAAAACAAAAAAAATAAGTATATTAAACTTATATTTTAATAAATATGAATAATTTTGAAAATTAACATTACGTTCTCAGCAAAGTATTTGTAAACCAAACACTGTAATGTTATTTTTTTTACATTTTAATCATTATTTTATTTGTATACTAAACATTGTAATGTTATTTTTCATGCAATCACATTACTTATAATCACATTACATTGTAAAGTACCAAACGTACCTTAGTTCAACGTTGAATCCCTAAAGTGGAGTGATTAGATTTATTCTCCCAAATCCCAATTCCCTTTTGTGAGTGTTCGTAAATCCAGTGAGGTTTAGGTCAGATTTATCCTCTCTCTTATTTTTTAAATGTAAAATCCGAATTTGGCTTGTTGGTTTATTTAATTATTATTTTATGATTAAAATAAATAAAAATATTATTTTTATTTTATTTTTTAAATATATTTTTAAGATTAAAATTAAATAAACTATATTATTCATAAATAAATTAATATAAATGGGTTGAGTGAGATTCTGATCTAAAATTTATATATATATTCATCTCAAATCAAATGCAGCCTACAGGTCAAGATAAAAAACGCACCGTTTGGCACACTACTTGTAGTTTATCTTAAAGAATAAATTAGGATGCTTGTCTTCTTTGTTGAGAATCTTATTGAAGCATTATTATAAATTATACTTTTCTTGTTTTACCTATTTTTTTTACATGTGTAAAAAAGTAATTCATTCCCTTATATTTTTACTTATTCAAATAAATAGTAATAGTATTCGATGATTTAATATAACTTGAATCATTCGTGAGGTTTGAAATGAATGAAGGGTGAGAGAGTTAATTCTTATATGAGAAAATAGCTTGACCCGTGTACACACAAATTTCTCGTCAAAATTTCTTAACTTAAAAATTATGAGACAAATATAAATATTTGATGATGTGAGTGATAATCTCTGAAAATTCCTCTGATTAATTTCTTCACTTCGTTTTTAAGAGTCATGAACTTGAACTTTGTCTTGATCACGAACTTCGCCGTCACTTGATCACGAACTTCGTTGTCGCTTGATCACGAACTTCGCCTTCGCTTGATCTTCACCCCAAAAATCTTATATTCTTCTTGATCTCTGAAATGCTCTCAATCTTCAAATGCTTCCGAATGAATGAAAATGGCTCGGAGGAGCCCCTATTTATAATGTTAAGTGGGAGACTTTGATGAGAATGAAATTTCTTTGAATTATCTCTAAATTATTTTAATTTATTTAGAGATAAATTATGATG